ATTACTACAACTCTCTATAATCTTCCCAAACACTCTGTAATGTTCTTACGAAAGAATGTAGAGCCCACCTTCCACGTACGCGAAACAGATATCATATAGGGTCAAGTGTCACCCAGCATGGTGCAATCTGTAGACACCCAGCATGGTGCAATCTATCTTCTACTTGGCTATAAACTCTGGTAGTGAAGGGAAATTGAAGTTCAATTTTAATGCTTCTTTCGATTGTAGATTTTTGAAAGGAGGGAGTGCGATTTTTGGGTTGATTTTTTGGGATAATGGGGTCATTAGCTTCTGTCTTTTAAAATTGTGTTGAATGCGGAAATGACGGATGATAACATGTTGAGAGATAGCTTAAAGCTCTTAATTAGTTGGTGAGATTACAAATCTGTTTCCTCCGTCACCCCCCCTCAAAATTCTATCGTGGCTTGTGTGCTGCGGGATGTAAATTTTTTTGTCTTCAAATGGTCTCCTCACTTTTCAAATGGTGTGGCACATTCTGTGTATTAATGGCTATGTCGAATAGAGTTGGAGAGATTGAAGTGGATGTATGGCTAACTTGATGGTTAGTGCGTAGCGACTTTTTTTAAGGAATATTTTGATAATTTTTGTATTTGTTAGGTTACCCTGACGCGTTTATTTATTCTGAATTTTTTTTCTATCTAACCGCTGTTTTAATCATTACAGTGAAATTCCTGCAATCCTCGAATGCAATCTTTATTTTGAATGAATCAAGTAAAAATATATATTTGATCTCTTTTGTTTTTTTGTTTTAGCAACAATTGGTTGCGGTTGTACTCAGCTTTCTAGGGTGGGCTAGTTTGTTTGGGTTTTCTATGCAATTGTGATGTTAACAAAGAAAAGAAAATAAAAAATAAATTATCTCCATCCTCTTTCGAGAAAAACTTTATTGCATTACACTGTGTAATAGGTATATTCAGATTGTTTAAATAATATATTTGCTTATGCATATGTATTACACACATCGATAATGAACGATTGAATGTGCTTATTGCATGATACAACGGGTATAAAAAAGTTTCTCTAGCTTCTGCTGAAATTCATTTGCATATTTCATTTCTTTTACTTTCGTGAGTTAGTATTTATCAAAGCCTATATAGTATTTCTTTTACTTTTCAAAATAAAGTAAAAAGATTGAAAAAAAATAAAAAAAATTTGGTATTTGTCTCAATATTTATTAATTGTAATAAGTCATTATTTTTCGCATTCATTGTGTAATCATTAACCTTATATTACATAGCTCACTTCAAATATATATTATTTGCATGTTTACCGTGTATTCAAATAAGGAAAAATAGAAATAAAAATAGAAAATTCATTCATTTCAACATCTAAAATGATTTGATGGAACATCACATTCATAACCTTTCATAGAGACTCTTGGCCAACGTATGTTGGCTGGACCCTATGGTTTGGTTAATTCCAACTTAAAAATAAATAAATAAATAAATTTTAAATCGGTAGTTAAATAAAATTGTATTTAATATATTATACAAATACAAAGCCCTGGAAGGAGTGGGAAGTAACAGGCCGTAGCCGTAAATATGGCCAATGGGTAGCCCAACTCTAGAGGTGAAGAGTAATTTAAATATAGCCCAAACCACTGCAGCTATAACTGGAGCCCAATATTTTTAACGCGTGGCCTGGTGGAACTGTGCAACTTGGGCGCTTCTGTAAGTAGACATGAAATTGGAGTTTTGGAATTAGAATTGGTAGAATTAGAGATAAGCAACTCAGAAAATTGAACAAATTATTTTTTATAATTTCACCAATTTTAATTTCAAGATTACAATTTCATGTCACCAAACATATCCATTGCTTAAGAGTTCGAATATGAGTTGATGTCACCAAACATATCCATTGCTTAAGAGTTCGAATATGAGTTAGTTTATTTTAGTTCAGACATCTACATAATAAAGAGGGGCAGTTTACCTATTAGTATAAAAACACAACAAAGAGGATGGTTAGAAGTTGAATGAGATGCGTGAATAGTGCTTAAATATTACTCACAACTCAATCAATTGAAAGTACTCGTAAAAACAAGTGGATGTTATTATGTTTCCTGTCAAGATTGCTTAAAAAATAAATAAATAAAACACAAAGAAATATAAAGAACAAAAAAAAAACGGCACTTCACTTTTTTACAATTACATTGAATTTTTAAAGAAAATGGCACTTCTATCCTTAATTTTATAAATAAATAATTATTTCTTTTTAAATACCACAATTACCCTTTCAGTTATCAAAAGAAATATGCGTCTCCCTCTCTCTCCCCAATTAACATTTTGAGTCACTTTCAGACCTCTCTCAATTCTTTTTATTAAATATTTCCTCTCCCTCTCCCTCTCCCTCTCCCTCTCATAGGGTTTAATATTTATCTTTGTAAGTAAGAATAGAACTTATGGAAGATCTCAAACATGAACACATTATGAAGTTGAACAAAGTAGTTGTTCTTGTTAGTAATGGAAGCATGGTTGAACTATCAAATCTTCATGAACCATTCAACTCCATCGACATTAATGGTGATGCTAATTTTTCTTTTCTTTTTGTATTGTAGGCCATATTCAAGGAAAACCTATTATCTCCTTCAAAAATTCAATTAAAAAGAACAAGGGATGAAACCAAAATCACAAGGAAAAATAAGGAAGAGAATGAAACCAAAATCAATGTAAAAATTAAACCCGACTAATAATACTTTAATATTTTTCTTTTTGGGAGGAAATTATGTTGGAAACAGGGACACTAAAAACATAAACTTTGCATGAAATTTGAAATAGATTCTGCTAATAATTTTTTGCGAATATCTAGATGAGCGCGTTTCTCTCCACAAGGAGATGAACGTGGTATATTTACTTTCTCAAATCTGTTTCTTGGTGAATGAGAAATTAGCTTCAAAGTGTGGTATTTTGATAAGCCTAAATGGGTATGCAAAATGTAGAAAATGTTTGTCCCACATGGAAAAAATGTTGAAACCAATTGAAATTTAAATTTGGGCTTGGGTTTGGGCCTAATTGTAAAGTCCAATTATTCTTTTTACTAAATAGAATCTTGGATTGGGCCTTTAATTTTGGACTGAGCTTATTTAAATGGGTAGTTGGTTTTTGAATTTAAATTAAAAGTTAGTTTTTTTTCCAAAGGGTTGCTTCTATTTCTAAAGGGTTGCATCTATTTTTCAAAGAGTTGCATCTGTTTCTAAAGGGTTGCAATTCAAAACCAACAGATATAATTATTCATGTGAACCATTGTAACCTATTGGAGTGGATATGTCTATTGGTGAATAGACACCATGTGAACCATTGCAATCAATTGGAGTGGATGTGTCCAGTATGAAGAGACACATATATATATAGTTGTGTCCAATGATGAAGAGACATACCCACCCGAAAAGGCACCTTGTTGCCTATAAATACCCCCCTTTAGATCATTTGCAAATCATTCATTTTCATTTTCTTCTATCTCCCTCTCTAAACTTGAACCCAACCTAAGTGGATTCAAACCATAGGTTAAGTGGTCCGAACCACTTAGACTCTAATCCAATTTTATTGAGTCATATTAAGATTGGTCCAAACCATTTGGTTCGGATTGCTCCCAATTCAACATTTATATAGTATAGATGCATTTTTGAGTCAGAGAGAATATTATACGGAGGAGGTTCGCTGTATCCACGAGTTTGTAGTGCCGCTACTAGTGGATGTAGACCGTTGTATCCTGGGAGATAGATGCCACTGAGTCCGAAAGCACCATAGCGGGGTGAATTTGTCTTAAGGACATAGTATCCAATACTAGTCTCGGTTTAGGTTATTTATTTATTTATTATTATTATTTTATTATTTTATTTTGCATATTTAATTAAATATATAGTTGCATATTTAGTTAATCATTTATCAGCATATTGTTAATTATCTCATATCATATTAGTATAAGGGTTGTTATATCTTGAAAGTCACATGAAGTATATATTTTACCAACAAATTATACTTAATTGACTACTTTTTCTTCTTCTTCTTCTTTTTTTTTTTTTTTTTTTTTTTTTTTTTTTTTTTTTTTTTTTAACTAAGGTGTCTAAAACCAACTAACAGTAATCCGTCACAAATCTCTCTTCATTTCGTTTTGATTCATAAGTCCATGTTTGATTATTATCCATTTTTTTTTATTTTTTTATTCATAAGTGCATGATTGATATATCAGTACATGAAAAGTAAAACCTATAAATAATACCAATTTTAATACTAGGATTGAAGAAAAATTGCAGAGTAAAAAAAAAGTTTTTTGGCGTGGTCCCTTCCTTTTAATGATTTATTTGGTTATTTAAGTTCTTAAATAATTAAGTATAATTTTTTTAAAAAAAATGATTAGAGCAAGTAAAGAAAGAAAAATAAAAAGAAAGTTTACGGTGCAAAGAATAGTTAGGATAAAATAAAATGAAAGATGATGCATTAATTATCTGAAAAACAAAATTGTCATTCAATTAAAGACAAAAGAAAATTGTCATTCAATTAAAGACAAAAGAAAAGTATAATACAATGTAAAAAAATGGAGTGTCAATATGGCCTCCCATAAAAATACCATATTTGCATATTCTTATGAGATATGTAAATGATATACAGAGAAGGCATTTGATTGGAGGGTGAGAGATGACTACACCTTCATGGTCATCTAATTCCATTTTCCAAGTCAACATCGTTTTATTTATTTGGCTAAACATTAATTTATAGTTCAATGACATATATGTGAAAGTTGATTAATCATATATATAAATTGATCCGAAGGCAAGGTATAATCCTGTAATTTGTCCTTGACGAGGTAGATGCCATCTTAGAATTTCACCTTGTTTCTTATTCTTCATTTATCATTATCCTCTCTTTTTATTTATATGAACAAAGTCTAAACTCCTATAGCCAGCCTATAGGTGCACTCAAATTTCTCATCAAACACTATAGAATAACCTAGATTATCAACACACACACACACACACACAGGACATGGATGGTTTGCCAAGGTCTGAAACATCGTTCAGAAGACAAGGTTCATCAGGTTTGATATGGGATGACAAGCTTTTATCTGGAGAGTTGAAGCGAATAAAAACCAAACCGAAACAAGAAGAAGAAGATCATGGAAAACCAGAATCCCGAGAACGTCCTCCTACGTATCGTGCCATCAAGGTTGAACCCACCATCGACCCACCTTCACCTAAGGTCTCCGGTTGTGGCTTGTGTGGTATGTTTGGAAAACCTGTCAACCCTAACAAACCAAGATAATTAAATACCCAACTCATCCTACTTTTTGTAAATGTTGTTCTTTGATAATATATGTGAAACCATTTTCATAGTTTGGCTATAGTTGTGTGTGTTGAGTTTGTTGGACAATTGCATGTTTTTTACTTATTAGGTTGTTGTTGCCTTGTACGAATTAATAATATATCTGGCCACATGCAGTTACAATAATTTCTTAATTACAAAAAAATTGATATATGAAGAGTAGCATAGCCAAACCAAAGGTACATTAATTCTTGCTTTTAATTAGTTTATCTCTCAAGAAATTATAGGGGCCGGGGTGTTTTAGTTTTTCTTTTGATTTGTTTGATTAATTTTAGTGTTTGAACATATTTTCTAGCTCTCTGCCAAGTATTTGAAACAGATTTTGATGAAAAAAATATAAAGCAGCCTCATAATAGGTTCGACTGTATTTCTTTTGACCGACGTCAATGTGCTGCTAAAAATGTGATATATTATTATAGAAAGTTGTACTTAGCGGTTGAATTTAGGGCTACAAACAATCAAAGGTCGGCCTCATTCTGTGGCTTCATTTGGTACGAGGGACTTGGAAAAAGGAATAATTACGGAAACATGTAGTTTTTGAGGCTAATTTATAAAGTTATGGAATCAAAGTCAACCTGCATAAACTCCCAAGCATGTTCAAGAGTATGGTGCTTTTAATCCATCCGAGAGTCTCAGACTACTATACTTGTATGAATACACACACACACACATATATATTAATATTATTAAGTCACCCGAATGGTTGGCCCAGTAATTAAAGGGTCTTAAGGCAAGTTCTAATTTCAGACATTCTGAGTTCTTCACACAAAAACAATTGAATTTAAATAATATATTTAATTTGTGAATGAAACCTCGGTAGAAAAGATATATTTTTAAAATAAATAAATAAATAAATAACTTCTGCCAACCTGCGTACTAGCTCGGTTATCCTATATAATAGGGTTAGTGACGTAACGAATTAAGCTTTATATTTATTAAAACTTATGTTATCATAAGTTTGATCGATCGACTAATAACAACAAGAGGCTAATCTGCCGGCCAACAATATTTTAATTTTTCTAATCAGTCGTTTTCGGCATGTATGTGTCCTTATTATTACATAAGAATAATGATACAAAAATAAAGAATCAAATTTAATTACTGCTTCGCCTATAGTTTTTCGTCCTAATGACTTATATATACATTATCTGTGTGTATGTCAATTCTTACGATTCTGTTTAATTAATATAAGACAAATAATATCAAGTCCTCTTGCCCAATTAAACATAAAAAATCATCATACAGATTTTGAAGAGTATTATATATATATATATATAGATAGATACACACACACAGTCACAAGAAGGAAGATGGAGCCAAACAATGCCTCAGAACCAGCTGGCAACCATGCTTCACTCGAGGCTACCCCTTTCTTTTTATTTCAAAAGAAGAAAAAGAATACTTATAACTGTCCTTATTTGATCAGTATAATTCTATATAATTCAACTAATTATCAGTAAAACTATGATTATAAATTATAAATTCAATTTGTCTTGATCCGTTTCTGAAATCAATGATTATGGACGTGTGTGATGCTTGCCCTGTTGTGTTTAATTGAATACTAGTGCGGTCCTTCCATTTCGAAATTATCTTCTATTTGTTTAATTATTATTGTTATTATTATTATTATTTTATAGATGATGGTAAATTAAGAAATACATATTAAATTCATAAATTTATTGGGAAAGCCCATACGACCCAATATTGACCTAGTCCAGGTCCATTTTTTTGGGAGCAAAGCCCATCTTCTTTTCTAAAAACCTATAGCTTTGCTTGCAGTAAACTGGCTCTGGGCCGGTGGACTTTTGGGCTTGTCCTTCCCATGAACCAAATATAGGTTGTGCTCTTGCCACATGCATTTAACTATTGAGACAGACTACCTTCCCAAAAAAAAAAAAAAAAAACTACTGAAACAGAGTTAAGTTAAATAAATAAACACCAAATGCAATTGAAATTTAACCCATGAGCATTAATGGTCTATGAGATTTATATCAACACTTCATGTCATTTACAAACTTGACAGAACAGAAATTGAAATCAACCATCAAAACAAAATAAAAAAAGCACAAACAAAAACAAGAACTTCTATGATGCCCATTAGTGTTACAATTAAAGACCTGTATTTTAATTATACTCATTCCAAAGCTTTTTGAATTTTCGTTTTAAATACTAAAATATGCAATTTCTCCATTGAAAAATAGAGAAAGGAACCTGTTGAATGGGTCACAAATGAACCGAAACTCGAGCCCACGATGCAATGCCAGGCCGGCCCATACACCTTATCAAACTCCTGCATAGTGAGATAAAGATAGTCCAATATCAGCCATATAAATATGTATGTTGGTGCGTTAGAGAGAGAGAGAGAGCTTGATTAACTGAAATAAGTTTGTTAATCCTATAATAATCCTATATATATTGTACACTTGAGTTGACAAAGAGAGAAGAATTTGGTAACTATAGAATATAATTAATTAGCACAAAACATGTTCTGGTTATGAAGTTTTGTATTATTGTACACATGGGGTGTTCAAGATCCTTGAAATTCTAATGAACATGAGCATGTTAAGTTGTGATTACTGTAAATATTATAGTAAGATGTAATTAATGTTTTGTCAACATATTATATAATATTCACTATGATTCATTTTTGTTAGATCTGTTGAGTAGACTTGTTGGTCAGACTCCAGTAATCCAACAAATACATGTGCACATAATTAGGATGAGAGAGAGAGAGAGAGAGAGAGAGAGAGAGAGGTGTCTCATTATTTTAAAAATTAAAAGTAAAAACAAAAAGAGTGAAAGAAAGAAAACCAATTCAAATTCAAAGATCTTTTACTTATTTTTTCCTACTTTCTGGTGTCCCAACGAAAAAGATTTTAATCACTCAACAAGGGAAATCCAAAAAGAAATGACAAAAAGAATAATTATAACAAAAACACTTTTGACTAGCTACTTTAGCGCCCACGCGCATATATATATATATATATATATATATATATAGGATAATACTTAGTTACTTACCGGTAAGTAAGGTGAAGCTACTCACTACTATATGGTCTAATAATAAAATAACACATCACCTTTAATAATTAAATAATTCACATCTTTCTCTACTCGGATCAATCCTTGAATAAACGTATATAATGTTTTTAGATGTGGATTATTTAATTATTAAGATAATGCGTTATTTTGTTATTGGACCATACGAGGGTGAGTAGTTTCATCCTATTCACCGATGAGTAACTAAGTATTATCCATACATATATATATATATATATATATATATATATATATATATATATATATAACCAAAAATTAAATGTGCATATATATTTATAAAACCCCAAATTAAAGTTGAACAACATATACAGAATTATAAAGAATTAAATCTAGACTAAATGATGAATAAACATATATATATATATATATATATATATATATGTGAAGTAGTGTGGATGAGCATACCTTCTTCATATTATAGGCCAAGTGTTTAGAGCTAAACTTCTCCAAACTATCATAAGTTCGCCTTGCACACTGAAAGGCATGCACCTGCATGAACCCAGGCATGTCAGAAACCAAGACCTTCACTTGAAGAAACGCCGCCGCCGACGCCACATTCGTGTCTATGTGCGAGTGTGACACCGATTTTCTGGCTTCTATGTGTGAGTGTGACACTGATTTTCTTGCCTCGATGACGCACACTGATTTTCTTGCCTCAACCATATGCTGATCTCCTCCATTTACTATCCCCTTCAATCCACCATATGCATGCTCGGTTTCTCTATAGGACTTCGATTTTCTTAGTCCCCAAACAGATTTTTTCTTGGTCACCGCTGGATTTGGACTAGACTCCGGATTGAGATTTCCACCGCCAAACTTATAAACGTACATGACTCCTTTCTTATGGGTGTCCATCTCTTAGACTTTTCGCTACTTTGGTAGTGATATATAAGTATATTTTTGGTCTGTGTATGGTAGTAGTTGTAAAAAAAAAATTGATGAAGGGTTTTTATTTGGAATCATGAGGTGTTAATTGAATAATAGTCACTAAAATAATGTGATTAGAAAGTGGTTATAAGAGAGGTTTATTTAAAGCAACAGACCATGTGTTAGTGGCTGTGAATTTGGATAATTAAATGGTGGGGTCGGTTAGGAGAGATTTGATGCATTTTTGTTCCTCCATTGGGGTAATGGTTGTTGTGACTTTGGGCATTGTATTTGTTTCTACACAACGTTACCCACCACACATGGACTACTCTACTAAGTCCCACCGCCTTCTTTTGACAGGGTACCCCCACTTGATGACTGTCCTTGTCATTGTTGAACCATTGATTTTTTAAATAGAACGACTTTATTATAATATTTTGTAATCAGAGAAATACTTTGGAAGAGAGAGAGAGAGAGACCATATGATGTATAATGTCGCAATTACTTTGATTATCAACTCTTTTTACAAGCATATCCTATGCATCGTTGTCTCTGTTTCATTGTAGTACCTACGCACGGTAAAATGTTTATAGAAGTTTGTAAAACAGTACAAGATGGGGGCATCGTCTAAACCCAATATCAAGCGAGAAATTATTACTCTGTATCGGGATTATAGATTAGAGAACAATCATCAAATTATCAAATTAATAGTAGTAAGTATATAAAATTTATTTTATTTTTTATTTATTTGTCAATTGATGGTTGGATGAATAAGTAATTCCCGTACTATTTAATAATTTCTCCAGACATACCTAAAAGTACGTTCCATACCAAATGGGCTATTATTCAGTTGGTACAATCTTGAATTTTTTAAAAAGAAATCCAGGGTTCAAAGTCTCCATAAAAACATGTGTAGGTGTACTTATTTTATCATTAAAAAATGAATAATAATAATAATAATAATAAAAACCCAAAGTTTCACTTGGGCTAGAACGAAAAGAATAAACTGTTAAAGCTTCATATTTTATGGTTTTAGAATCTTCATATGCTGTCACTGGCTGTGTCTTTGACTCTTTACCGCGCTTTAGTAGCTTCTCTTGTAAGTATTTCACAAACGGGGTGGCACGGCATTGAAGCCCAGCCCATAATGTTGGGTTAGGGCTTGATTATTGACTGGTCAAAGGGAAAACTGAAAAAATGGTATGGTCAGCGGGCAGTGCAGGTATTGGAATTCCAAAGATTATGTACCCTATATTGGAAACACATTAGAATAAATTCTTGTTGGTTTTGAGCTATCAGATTTTTATTTTCTTATTATTTATGATCATTTCACAATTATATGTTTTCCAAATGCAAATAAATGATGGAAACATTGTGGGGTTTGGTTAGAGAAGACATTGATGGGTGTTTTTGTTTTTTTCTTCCTTATCTTGGAATAATTTAGCAGTACCAGTGGCCTTGACGTGATGTTTGAAGCGTTTCATTGCTCAACCCTTTTTCAGAGCTTTTATGGGCTAAAAGAATAGCACGACCACCCTGTTGATCTGTGTGAGACAGTCAATGATAATGATTGAAACAAGCTCCAACCTTCCATAAACACGTACTACCATATCTATTTGAGACAGTCATAAAAAAACAAAAAAACAAAAAATATATATATATATATATACACACCACAGTATTTACACCAACAGTGCTGTATGATATTGTTTGCTGTGAAATCAACCTCGTACGGTTTTGTTTTTAAATTTTATTTAAAAGGCTTTTTGATCATTTGAAGTATTACCAGGTATAAACACTTTACATTTCTCTTATATCGGGAGATATAAGATTATACAATTCGTTACTCACTCAAACGATGTAAAATTTACACTTATCTACATAAGTCGTCACAATACCCTTATTGTGTTCGGACTACCATCACACCGTCACATTGGCCATTGGATCAAAGACAGAGCATACAACTCACTAACATGCCATACAGTACCAACCACATGCACCACAAAAACTTAAGTTGTTGAATGGAAGCGAGACTGCACATGAAGGTAGTGCCAATGCCTTTATAACTCCAAGATCCTTCCTAACCAGCTCTGACATTGGGCAAGAATTGCTAACACCTATCATCCTCTCCATCTCAATTGGGTCACAATTAATTAGATTAATAAGTAAATGCTAACTAAAGCGTGTAATTCAGTAGCTGGCATGTTGGTAGAGTCACAGTGAACCAATCAATATAATTAATAGTGGCCTAAAAAAAATGATCCACCATGATTTGTAAGGGCTGCATTACTGCAAGGCCCAACTACAACAGAATTGTGTGTTGGAAGTAGGAACCCATGCCAACCAAGAGCAACCTCATCTAGGTAAGCCCATAAGCCAAGCCCGCTGTTCCCGCCGTATAGGATAGGTTGCCCCCATGAAATAGGAATAGATGTTTTGTGCATACTTCAAATTTTTCAAAGCCCAAAACTTTGTATGGATCATGGGCCAAAAGACCAAAAACTATTAACTAACTATTTGGTCACTTATAATCATAATGCAGTTACCGATGGGCTCTTCCGCTGGAAAGGATGGGTGTTCGAGCCCATTAAATGCACAAAAATGATCAATTTAATAATTATCATTTTTCAAATATAAATGGCGATAGTCTTTTGGGCACAGAACAGACCATATATACACTAGCTCGTTATTGATATATACTAATTTATTTATATATAATATATACACACACAAACATGAAGACATAGAGTGAAGAGATTAACGTGAAGTATTATGTTAGAGCGAATATAAGAACCACATATGGTATACGTATTATTACAGACGTGTGGGACTAAACTACATTGTATTGTATTCTTACAATTAGCATTTGCTCGGTATAATGGTAGTAGTTCGATCATCACTTCATTGGATTGATCATTCAATCACAAAAGAGTTATCAAAATTGCATATATAGTATAGCGAATCATTAATTTGTTTGCTAGTTTCTGCAATCATTTCATGTTGCTCATTGGACAGCTCATTCATTCTTATCAACTTTTTTTCTTTTCTTGTCTAACCGAAGAGTCTAACAATATTTATTTAATTAATGCATTGGATAAGACCAACATGTTGATCTTATATATTCAATAAATCCAATGAATAAGGAAAAAAAAAAAAAACGTAGACTCCTGGTATTAGGTGTAAGAATTATTATTCATAAACCTAATTAACAAAGGACAATACATGCATCTAACCCGGTTGGATGAAGTTTGTCCAATTTGGATACGTGGCCCAATCAGGACATGACACGTGTCCATAAACACTATTACATTTAACTTGGGTAACTTAAATGGGTCTGACCCGACACTCCCTTTGCTCTCTCTCGTAAAATCTGTAGCGATTGCTCATTAGTCTACTACATGAGTAAAAGACAACTCTCACCAACCTCTATATACATCACAATTTATAAATAAATAATATAAAACGTGTAAGTACACAGATGAATCTGAGAACACATACGGAATCATTCTTCCAGATAACAAATTCATCATAATTACACTTATTTGAGAGAGAAAAAAATTAAAGTTGCACATATTGGAGCAACACATTCAGATATCCACATCAGGTTCCTAATCTCCTGCTCCCTTAACCTCATGTACGCAAAGAATACGCCATAATGGAACTGCAGCTCAGGAAGGAAAACATATGTTCCATTGTCAGCTAAAGGATGGATAGCGAATTGACTTAGAATACAAATTGTTTCAGATTTTTCTAGGAAGCATGTTACTTCCAACAGAGCAAAAAGCGATTTCAACACCTCATTCTCTAAATCACAAACCTGTTGTTCGAATGCCAAGCAAAGCCTTTTGACCTCCTCTTCGTAGAATGCCTTACCCAAATAGCAGTCCCTAATCTAGAGAGAGACGTATTCGCAGGTCACTATTGCCACCAATTCGACTGAACTTCGAGCACAGATTACCATCGCCGGACTCAACTTCTCCGACCACTCGCCGTCACGCGCTCATGCGAGTTGATCTAACGCGTTTTCAAGCGCTCACGCGCCTCTTCTTCTCCGGTTATTGCAATACAGGCTCAGATCCAGACCCTTCACAAATTGTTTCTATCTAATCCACTGGCTGCAAATCCTCCATTCTCTCCAACGCCGTGAAGATACCGTCCACCTACCGCTCCTACATAGTCCGCACACTCGTGAAGAAGATCTCAGCCGTCAATTCGGAAGCCAACCGCTTGGAACGGCTCCTCCAGTAGCAGGAAACGGTGGCAGCCATCAGAGGCGACGATCGGATCTTGGGGTTGCAGGAGATCTTAGACGCCGTATCGGACGCCAAGGTGGAGGACTGGGATTGTGAGGAATTGGGACGACGTGGTGGAGGAAGATGCTTGTAGAGAGAAAGGAAAGAATCTTACATAAATGGATTTTATCCGAAAATAGATGGGCAATGCCCAGTTTAATTTTATATTTATTATGAACATGCGTGCCCTGATTGGACCACGTACCCAGGTTGGACAAACTTCATCCAACCAGGGTTGGATGCAAGTATTGTCCACTAACAAATGAAGTTTAAAGGAAGTGTCCATAAACATATATATATATATATATATATATATATATATATATGAAAGAAACCATCAAGTCCAAAGAGATCGCATTACCTCCATGAAATCAGATTATTTAATGCTTACAAAACAAAGTGAGAAATCCTAATAACGTTCACCCCTATACAAGTCTTGATGTGTGTACTTGATGGAGACAACACAGACTGTGCTTGTTAGACATGGGATCTCTGTAGGATTCTATAAAAAATAAAATCGAGAAGCAAGTAATCCATCATACAAGCCCTCTTTTCTATTTTGATTCAAAATGACAGTTATTATTAAACCACCGTAACTTTCCAAAAACCATGTTGTTATAACTTCCCAGTAACGTTGTGTCAGTATAAGTGGTTAGAATAGTATGAGAATATAGGTCACAGCAGGTTTAATGAATAAACGTGTCCAACATTCTCCCACTTGCCCAATATTAACACATTCATTACCTTTATGGGTTTAAGAACTAAAAAAAAAAAATTATCTATAGAATTTCAGTGTATAAAATCATCGCGAAAATTACACTATACAAATGAGTACTACCTTCCATGTATCATTATATTACTGTCTTTCTTTAGATAGACATCTTTATGTGGTAGTACTTTATAAATAGTTATTCACTATAAGAAAAAAGGGCTTCTACGAGGGGCCAAAAACCCCGTGAAAACCTATTCACGGCGCATTCTAGGCACTCGTGTATGAGGGTTCCGTAAATACTCAATTTTTTTTACGGGAAAAAATCTACCTCGCAAAAAAACAATATATTCGCCGTAGAAAATAATTTCGTTTATATATATTAAATTTTATTTAATTAACCTACGAGGTGCCGAGGCATGCCGTAGAAAAGGTTTCTACGGCGAATTGTAACTACCCATAGAAAACTCAAGAGACACCATTGCTTGTCGTAGAAAAGTTTTTTACGGTGAAGTATAACTACCCGTAAATAATCTCACGAGAAAATCATGAATGCAGTAGAAAAGTTTTTTACGGCAAACTATAACTACCCGTAAATAATCTGACGAAGTACAAAAGTATATCGTAGAAAAGTTTTCTAAGGCGAATTTTAACTATCCGTAAATAATCTCACGAGGCATTAAATCATGCCGTAGAAAACTTTTCTACGGCAAATTTTAAGTACCCGTAAATAATATAAATCATTCTCACGACTTGCCATATATGCCGTAGAAAAGTTATTTAAGGAGGATTTTCACTTATTTACGGTATTTCAAGCTTGCCGTAAATAAAATATATATATATTTTTTATAAATAATATACCTTTAATTAATTCCTGTTAATCATCCACTATCTATAATTCACATCACTTTCAACTGTAATTCATTTCAATTCAAAAAATATACATATCCCATTAAATATATCTAAATAGTTAAAACATTTTTACAATTCATCATTTATTAATGTTCCAAAACAGAAAGTACATCCATTTGTCAAGAAAATCATCAATTTCTTAACACTTCTAGTGAAAAATTGATAAACATTCTGACACTTGAGTTTCAGTCTGCACTTGTCAAAAAACCACCTCACTGTACAAAATCTAAGGAAGTAGCTGCAAAATCACAAGTCTCAAATTCAAAATGTTAATAAAAAAGGGAAATAACAAGATTATTATGAATCAAACACAAACATTTTGCTAAGAATTTTTTCCTTAGATTTGCTTTTATATTTGAAGCAGATAATTTTCCTTAATTGAATACTAGATTTTTGCAAGGATGTATGAGAACAGACAATATCAAAATCTCTTTATATTCATGAAAACTACAATATCATAATATGTCGTCTCTTTATCTCATGATTATGAGCAAATCTAAAACATTCTGAAACAAATCGGAAACATTGTAGGTTTTTGGTGCAACGATTATGAGCAAATCTGAAACTTTGAATACAAGTCAAGTCTTATATATATATATGTTTTTTTTTTTATGTTTTATTTTAATAATTTTTCAGATTTTCCGTTTTTGGGCTGCAGTAGGATTTATGGGTCATATTTTGGTCCAAATTATTGTAATGAACCTTTGTTCATGGTTTTTAGTTGGTCTATAGTAGTTTAATTAGTCAAATTTTATATGTTTTTATTTATTTCTTTTCCCTAAGCAAAGTTCTCAACTTTCTAAATAAGACTCCAAATTTTATAGCTATGAGTGTTTTAATTAAGTAGAGAACATCTTTTAAAGAAATTTTCCAACAAACCTTAGGTGTGATGGTTATGGGAATCTAGGGTGATCGTTCTACTCTGTTGGTCCCTAATATGCTTATCTAGAGGTTTGCTCTTTTAATGACAAAATGCATGTTTAAAGGGCTAAATGCAAATTTTTTTTTTTTTTTCCTAAATGAAGGAGTATGGCTAAATGCAATTTGATCATAGTTTATTGGCAAGTTGGGGATTGGTCAAGTGTTGTTTGCCATATCTTGGAGATTTACTAATTGAATTACAAATTAATATAAGCTCATTTACTCACTAGAGTTTCAAGGAAGTCATTGCAGCCCTTATAAGTTAAAGAATTCTGTGACAACACACTTAATTGGCCTACAGCCTTTATAAGGGCATTTTTGTCATTATACACATCATTATATTCATATTAAATATGCTTGTAGAGCTACAATGTTCAGCTGAATGTGGGCATTTAAGATGTAAGGATTTGGAACTAATCTCTTGGGAATTTAACGCTGCATAATTTGTTATGTTTGACTTGTTATGTTTGTTATATGTGAGCACTTAATCATGAATAAATTTATACCAATGTGCAGTCTTTCTCTCTTCCCTATTTTCTTTATGGCAAGTTTTCCTTCCATTCTTCTGTCATCACATTTTTTAACTATATGACCAATCACCGGTGATGGAATATGCATAAGTGTAAGACTTGGCTCACAGGTGATGGAATATGGAGTGGGCAAGGATACATTGAAGTGTAAAGATGCATTAGGCAGTGCAGTATTGTGACTGAGAAAAGTTACTTTATTTGGTCTCTCACTCCCTAGGATGTTTATTATTGTTGGTCCAGTTTCTTATGTGCTTCAGTGGGTGTTGTTTAGTTTTTTTACCCCTTGTCAACTACTTTTCCTTTGTAACTCGGCCTCTTACTCTCACTACTGTATGTAATGTGTTATGCAGCAACACTTCATTGTGTTCACTAATGGTCCAGAGATATTATGTGGACCAAAAAGTACTTATTTTATCTTGACTTTTTTTAGAAAGACAAGTATTTTAAGCTAAAAATAAATAAATAAATAATGATCTCTATCTGTAAATTAACATTGGTCGAGGTACTATTTCCCCCACATCTTTCTTTTTTATCCGAATTTGAGGTGTGACAAGACTCCCTTAACAATAGGTGCTTACACAGCCAGAAATCAAACTATCAACCTGCAAATAAAACTATACAATAAGGCTCCATCTTTTTTTTCTTTTCTTATTTTTTCTTTTGTTTCGGTTACCCTCTCTTTTAAAGACACACACACAAGTGTTTTCATCACCTGTCAGTCAATGCTTGTGGGTAGACAGATCGAAGACATGTTATTACCTAGAAATCATCAGGTTGCTTATAATATCACACGGAGGGTCGGACGCTCTGATAGGGTTAACTTCTAATATTATGTCCTATATATCCATCTCTCTTCTACACCATGGAGGATTT